TTCAACATGCCATTTTGATTCTCTCTTTCCTTTTTGATGCGATCACGGTCATTATTAAACAATAAACCTTACCATTACCTTCTAGGATTGCTTTAGAGTATAAATGGCTCCCAATATCTGGGATGGATGTAGAATGAAGCTTTTCACATTACAAAAATATTTTAAGTGATAGATGACACAATCTTTCAAAAAACTCATTAGAAATATTTAATGATAACAAATAATGCTGATTTAAAATTATTTATTTTTAATATTTGATTATAAAATTTATAAAATGATATAAATAAATCCAATATTAATATGGTTGATAAATGATCTGCGAGTTGAGGTAGAATGGCAAAAAAAAAAAAAATATTCAGCAGTAAACATTTACGTCTCAAGCCACATACTATTTTCAATATCATCAAACTACACACTCATTCTTCAATGGGTATTTTAGTTCCGTTACGATATAGTGAACTGATAGAAAATTTAAACCAGTAAAGGGTTTACTATCTCGTCCTTGTAATGCAATTCGTTGGCCTGGGTATCTGTCAATGGACTATGAGTACGTAATGATTAAACAAGCATCTCTCTCAATCTCTCCTATTTCATAAATTTCTACGCGCTTTTCCATATTAAAATGCCTTTCTGTTTCGTGATTCTATTCTATAATTAACGAATTTTTAATTTAATGTAATTATTATAATTATTATACAATAATGCAGAAGAACCTGTCATTTCATAATTTTTAACAATACTAAAGTCGTTATTTAATTAGTCACATGATTCCCTGCTATATGAAAACAGGCCAATCAAAATTTACCACGCATTTATATCAATTAGAAGGTAAATTTTAAAAAAGAAAAATCTCTTCTAATAAAATGTAATTTTAAAGGTTTAATATATATTATATTATATTATATTATATATTATTATTATATTATATTATATTATATTATATTATTATTATATTGTATATACTACATTTAAATATTATTATTATTGCTATTATTATTTTCTAATTTCTAATTTTTATTAAATAATGTATTGAATTTTAAAAGTAGGTGGTGATCTATATATATATATATATATATTTATATTTAGTTATTCAATTAAATATGCCAGGAGAAGTTTTACTGTTCCTTTTTGCTATTATATTAGCGGCAGGTTTATTATTTATGATGGTTTTCTTTGTATCCTTTAACAAATTATCTATTTTTATTATGAAGCAAATGTCATTATCAATTATTATCTTTAACATTCAATTAACCAATTAATTAGAGCATCTTATTTTCAGATCTTGAATGCGATTACATTAATCCAATTGATCTTTGTAACAAATTGAACCAAGTAGGGAAAAAGAAAAGAAAATTAATTGTTTTGATTTTTTAATTAATTGTTATTATTGTTATTAACTTTTGTTTTTTATTTTGTTTTATATATATAAATAGTTTGTACTTCCAGAGAATATGGTTCATTTCATAAATTTCTACGCGCTTTTCCATATTAAAATGCCTTTCTGTTTCGTGATTCTATTCTATAATTAACGAATTTTTAATTTAATGTAATTATTATAATTATTATACAATAATGCAGAAGAACCTGTCATTTCATAATTTTTAACAATACTAAAGTCGTTATTTAATTAGTCACATGATTCCCTGCTATATGAAAACAGGCCAATCAAAATTTACCACGCATTTATATCAATTAGAAGGTAAATTTTAAAAAAGAAAAATCTCTTCTAATAAAATGTAATTTTAAAGGTTTAATATATATTATATTATATTATATTATATATTATTATTATATTATATTATATTATATTATATTATTATTATATTGTATATACTACATTTAAATATTATTATTATTGCTATTATTATTTTCTAATTTCTAATTTTTATTAAATAATGTATTGAATTTTAAAAGTAGGTGGTGATCTATATATATATATATATATATTTATATTTAGTTATTCAATTAAATATGCCAGGAGAAGTTTTACTGTTCCTTTTTGCTATTATATTAGCGGCAGGTTTATTATTTATGATGGTTTTCTTTGTATCCTTTAACAAATTATCTATTTTTATTATGAAGCAAATGTCATTATCAATTATTATCTTTAACATTCAATTAACCAATTAATTAGAGCATCTTATTTTCAGATCTTGAATGCGATTACATTAATCCAATTGATCTTTGTAACAAATTGAACCAAGTAGGGAAAAAGAAAAGAAAATTAATTGTTTTGATTTTTTAATTAATTGTTATTATTGTTATTAACTTTTGTTTTTTATTTTGTTTTATATATATAAATAGTTTGTACTTCCAGAGAATATGGTTCATGCATTTCTATTTTTTTTATTTTTAATTAATGGAAGTTGGCTTGCTGCATTAATTAATCTTCCATTAGTAGCATATAATGCAAATATGTATGGATTTATTTATTATTATATTTGATTATTTTTTTTTGAAATTATTTCTAAAAATTTTTTTTTTATGAAATCAAAATAAATTAGAATTACAAATAATCGTCATATGTATGATCCAACGGATATTTTTAGAACGTTAACTCAACATAAGAATTTATGTTTTATTAAGCTTGCATTTTACATGATTACATTTTTTTACTATCTTTACAGGTAAAATATATGTAGTAGAAAAGAAAATTTCTAATTATCATTATTAATATCATTATTAATATTTTATTATAATAATTAGAATGATTCTCGCACTTATTGATGAGTCTTAATTATTAATTATCGTATTGGATGGATTGAAAAAAAAAAAATAGAATTAATTACTTGTTTACTACTTGTTTAATAATAATAGGAATAATAATAATAATAAAATTTTAATAATAAAATTATTAGCAAAAATACTACGATTGTTATATGGAAGTTTATTTCATATAGTTTTTCATTTTATATATGACCGCTGTGATTACTACGGTATTATTACTTTCGTTATGATCTAAAAGCTTCTTTCTAGTCTGTAGCTCCAACTTCAACACCAATTAATGCTTTCGAATATAATATATATTCAAACATTTGCAACTAATCCTGTACACTTGACTCACTCAATTGATGAATTTAAATTAGCAGTAACGACAACATTATTATTATTTTTTGATGGAGATGTGTGATAAAGAAAAAGAAGTTTTGAAAATTGACAAGAACAATATATGCTCAAAATTAATAACTCTAAAGATTTTGATTTTGATGGGTGGATCTATGGAAATTCTTTAATTAAAAAAAAAAAAAGGAGTTTTTCTTGTAATGAATGAAAACTTTTTTTTTTTTCAAGAGCATATACAATAATAACAGAAAATGAAAATTTTAATTCGGAGAAATCTTTGTGTATATACGCACGCGTAAACAATACAATCAATCGGACTTACGTTTCGATCCCTACTTTTTGGGTTTGACGCGTTTTTGACATGTTTATGCCGATCATTCACCATTTATTTCTTCCCATCACCAAAATTTTAAAAGAAATAATTTAAAACTATAAAAAATGTCATCTTCAGGTAAGTTATACTATCGGTGGAAACATATTATTATATATATACTCTTAAACTACAATTTAGTATATAATATTTTGTTTGTTCGTTATAAATTATAAATATTTTAATATTAAACAGTTACTTACACTGCCAATTCTGTAGCTACTCTTACTACAATTAATATTACTGAACCCTCAAGATCTGTCTTCGTCGTATGTACGATTAAACTTGATTGATTTATAAAAATTATAATTTGTGGCATTAAAATTTTTTTTTTAGCTTGGGTTCTGTGACAGATTGACAAAAAAACTCTCAGAAGAAATCCGCACTTTTTTCTCACAACATGGTACGGTTGAGAAAGTTGTTGCTAGGCATGAGCCAGTAACCAAAAGATTTTTGGTAAATATATAAATATTTACGTATGTTTGTATATATTTATTTGGTAAATTAATTTTCAATTTTAACATTAGAGCGCATTTGACATATATTTCGAATCTCATGAAGAAGCGAAACGTGTATCAAGGATGAATTTGAATTTTCACCGTGCTAGACTTCATATGATGAACGTCCAGTATGTTAAATAATTGATTGTTTGATACAATAATAATTCATTTAATTTTATATTTCTATGAACTCTATAGACCTGATTATATTAAATGGAATGGACAGAATCAAGGCTTTGATTATACCAATATAAAATCTAGAGATCACTATAATTATAATAGTTATAGCAATGGAAGCGCTCATGAAGATTATGATAATTATATTAGTAATAAATTAATTCATTTTGTTGGTGCAGGTATAAATGCAAATTATGCTAAAATCAGGGTAATTATTATTAATTTATCATTACTCTGGAAATCAATGACAAAAGCCAATCATTTTAAAACAATTTTTTATTTCCAAAAAAAACAAAGCTTTATATGGAAAGGAACTATGCAAGAATTAAATATGTCACTTACAATCCCAAAACAAAATCAGGAATAATTGAACTTGTTGATCCACATGCGGAACAAGTCGTAAAAGCTATGATAGAAGATGGGGTCTTTTTTGATAACGTAACTCCCAAATTTAGAGTATTGGAAGGTAATAAATGATATTTTAAATAAACAATATCATTATTAGCTAGTATATTTATTTTTATTAATTTATTTTAAAAGGCAAAGAAAAAACGTCTTATTACAAACATAAAAGAATGCGTATGTTTAAAACCAAAGTGGCACAAACTGCTACTGTTGATACATCTGATGTTAATATTAATGAGTCTCAAGTCGTTATTGCTGATGTTACTAATAATAATAGTATTGTAATTAATGACAATGAATCAAGAGTTGTTACAGAATCTAGTCAAACTTTGTCAAATCCTCAACCAAAGGGCAAAAAACAGATGAGTGCAAGTGTTGACAATAAAGACAGCAATAAAAATGATGTTGATAAAAGCAACGAGAAAAGAATTAAACGCACAAAACAAACTGAAGTAAAAGAAGTTGTGCATAAATATAATTTAAGAAAACGAATATAGACATGCCATTTTAAATTTATATTCATTTTTTTTTTTTATTTTTAAAATTTTTTTTGTATGTTACAAATAAATTTGCTAAAATTTTATGTTAAAACGATTGTGTTCTCTATTTAGTATACTATGCGAACTATCCACTCAAAACTTTTCACTTTGGTATTTTATATTTTAACGTTAATTATTAATTTTTTAATATTAATATTAATGTAAGGAAACGACCAAATCAACACTCAGAATTGTTGATTTTTTTAATGCAATTTTATCTACGACTTTATCTATAAGGTTTACGTTGTATAATAATGACCGTGATCGCATCAAAAAGGAAAGAGAGAATCAAAATGGCATGTTGAAAATCAATCTTTTATTAAACTTGATTTTTGGGGAAGGATTTTTTTTGCAAATGAATACTCCTAGAAACGTCTGATGTGATGACCTTCCGTTTTTCTCTTGCTAGTATTTTAACTTGTACTTGATTTTCTTAACATTTTCTTCGAATTTAATAATTATTTACAAGAAAAAATCAATACATTTAATATATCTCTATTTTTTTGTTGTCGTGAAAAGGCAAATGCATGTCATCGATAAAATCGTTATATTTTAATAACTATTATCTTTTCGATCAATTGAAAAGGATCTTAGAAACAATAAATCATTACCTTTTCGATTAATTAATGAGAAAGATTTTAACAAACAATAAAGAACTTTTCGATCAACTAATGATAGGACTATTACCTTTTCAATTTATTAATTTAAAAAAAACCACCTTGATCATGTAGTATTAGTATGTCAATATTTAAAATACTTGTGTGGCTAAATATGTTTATACTGTATATATATACAAATTTGAAATTTACTATTTTTATCATTACCATCAGCATCATTGTCTTTTTTTTCTCAATTATTCCACCTAAACTCGCTGTTACATTTCGAATTGCAGGTCTATCAACGGAACCGCAACCTACAGGAGTGACAAGGAAGGTCAAAATTACAGAGATGTCGTCTTTAAAGAATGTAATGTGTTAGATTTTGGGATCCTGACAAAAAATCATTTATATGCCCAGTTTAAAAATCTAACAAACTTCCTGAGAGGGTGTACTTTCTCGCGTGATGTTCTTGAACAACAAATTGTTCAACGAGAATATATGTCATGGAACCGTTGGTGTTGATCGATGACGAAAGTATCGAAGTGGCGTTTTCAACCCTGACAAGTATAAGCAAAATAATTGTGGCCAAAGGAAATTTACCAAAGTGCATCGAGGTGACAATTTCCTCTCCAAAACGCGTTCGCTTTAACAGTTCACAAAACCTAAGGTTTAACCTTGCTGCACATAGCGTTAAATGTTGATGAATGTTTGCGGAAGGTCAGGTGTACGTTGCGATGAGCTGAGCCGCTTCGCTGGATAAGTTGCATATCGTGGGATTATTCCCAGCTGAATATCTCTAGAGCAGCCTTAGAGGAGCGTAAAAGATTAAAAGTTGTGAACAGCCATGGATTTCAATCGTTGCAATCGTCATAAATAATAAATAAAAACAACAACAACAACAACAATAGTCGCTTGCCCCTTGATGATCGTGTAAAAAAAAAAGAATATGTATTTCTTTAATGAAGTAAAAAAGCTAATGAAATTTAAATGGACATGGGACATTTAAAAAAAAAACATTAATATAACCAACACAACAATATTAATTGACAATATATACTGAAGTTTTGTTAATTATAAATAATAGCATTAATAAAATAAAATCTAATACAATTATTTTTAACCTCGGACAATAATCTATGCTTTATTTCAATTCTTTCGAGATGATCATTTTAACTGGTTTGGGTATATCTACTATCAATTTCTTTCAAATATCTTCAACTGGTGCATCATAAGATCTATCAAAATTATTATCTAATTGATTATTTATCAAAAAAAACAAAAAAATAAGCACAATTACAAAATACAATATCAGGAAACATTCTCTCCAACAACGTTAACAGGAAGAAAGTAAAATAATTCAATCTTTTTTGGTGTCATAACACACATTCAGAAACCTTAAAATGAGGATAATTACAGCATGGTAGTTGAATTATGACTTGTAGATTTTAAAACAAACAGTATTTTGTACCAACCTTTTTTTGGTTCTAACTCCAACAACATCTGAACGGATTAGAAATGGTAGTAACATAAGATCAATTGACATTTCATGTTGGTATCTATTGTATGCAAAATTCTGATGTCTCGCTCTTTTGTAAGTTGTTGCAAAATATCATGGATCAATTACTTCAACTCACGTTTATCTTGTTTGTAAAGAAAATAAAGTTGATTCAATTGATTTCAATATCAAATGTCCCAATTGATTCACTGTACAATAAATACCCTTGGCATTGTGCGGTTCAATATTTCTAAATTCAGAAGTAGTGTTCCTATTAAACTAAACTTTTGACTGTATTCAAGTTTAGTTCAACAAAGCTTAGTTCAGGTTCGGTTCAGTAAAGCAAAGATTCAGTTCAAGTTCAATCACATGATGTTATGAACTTTCATAACTAGTGCAAATTTGGAAACATTTAATTGAGTTTGGGTTCAGTTCAAGACCAATCACATGACAAATTTGCTTTCGTATGGTTATCAGCATGTTTTCAGTACTTTTCCTGTGTATTTATGCGCAGAAATTGCTCATTTACCATACAGTCGAAGCTCTCTATACCAATCCCCCTGGACCAATAATTTTCATTCAGTATAGAGTGTGTTTGTTAGAGAAAAGTGTCAATCATTGTCATATGATCATTAATTATTAAAATTCATAATATTGTCTATATTTTTCAGGCAAGCATTCATTGAAGCTTTAATGTTATTTGGTGATGGTGTGCAATTACACTAGTTGCAAACTTTATCATGCAATATCACATGATTGAACTTGAACTTGTTCATGAACTTTGAACTGAACTCGAACTGAACTTATGGATACAGTTCAAGTTTGGTTCAAGTTCAACCATTATCTGTTCAAAGTTCGGTTCAGGTTCAAAAAACATTGATATGGTTCAAGTTCAGGGTTCAATTGAACTTGAACTGAACCAAACTGAACCTAGAAATACTATTCGGAAGGGATATTAACATAATATTAATAATAAAATCACTAGCACAAAAGATTTTAATGTTGCAACAACAAATTTTGTTTTATACAAAATTTATTGATACTGGATCTTTTTAATGAAAATAATGGTCAAAGTGAATAAAATTGTTGTAAGATAACCAAATACTTGCCTTTATTGTAATTATAAACAATTGTTGATATGCAATATTGAAATAGAACTTACAAACATGTTCTATAAAATCTCTGGAAATATATTAATGCACTTGTACATATTTGAATTCTGATACTGTCTGGATAGAGCATATACAGTACCTGGACAGAAGTATCGGAACACTTGCTTTTGTTAATTGCGCAAAAATGTACATAATAAACATATATGAAATTTATATCATTTGCGGTTTAGGTTCTATGGAAAATCACATGTATCTAGGTTCTGTATAACTCGAATAAATATATAAAAATAAAATTTGATTAAATTTTGACATGATATTTTTAGAAATTGTCCAAGAACCTACATAGTAATATGTTTTGAAAATTTTGTATATGAAAACCCAAGTTTGTGATTCCGAAAAATTATTTTTTATTACATATTTTTTAAGAACTTTTTTTTTAAAAAAATTTTAAATTTCAAAAAAAAAAGTCTAAAGCTCAACGCGGACAAATAATTGGCCTTTATAAAAATGGAGCCTCATATAGAATTATTTCTAAAATACTTGGCTTCCCATCACAACAGTATATCGTATTAGAAGTTGTCCTAACAATTTAAGAAGTCTTAAAGAACTTGAACTTGAGGCTGCTTTAAAAGAGGAATGGAATAAAATTCCTCAAAATGTTTTAATGAATTTGATTGAAAGCATGCATAGTAGAATTCAGGCTTGTATAAAGAACAAAGGATACTCAACTAAATATTAAAAGTAGTTAAAATTTTAAATTAAAAATTATTACATAGAATTTGAGTAATAAAATAAATAAAAAATTTCGCGTCAGAAATTTAGTGATCGTCAAAGAAAATTTTTTATTCAAATTTCATTTTTATATATTTATTCGAGTTCTACAGAACTAGATACATGGGATTTTCCGTAGATATTCACAAGAACCTAAAGCGCAAATGATATAAATTTCATATATGTTTATTATGTATATTTTTGCGCAATTAATAAAGCAAGTGTTCCGATACTTTTGTCCAGGTACTGTATTTAAACTTTTTTTCAACTAGTACTAGATTTTGTAAATATGACAATCATTAATTAATCGAGGAATAGTCCTATATTCATAACAGTCGCAGGACATTACAGATCAACAGGGGGTCAAGTGCATGTAAAATCGAAGAAAATATATGGAAAACCCTTTATTGTGACATATTTTTTGCCAGGGTAAACAAATAACACTCGACGAAACCTTTAATGTGAAGTTTGGTCTATCAGCTCTATAAGTTCTATAATAAAGAAATTTGGATATGCACAATTCAATCTTTGGACTTAATTTTTTTTACATAGTAATTTCCAATTTCCAAGTTTTAAATATTTATTTTAGAATTTTGTTTATAGTAAAGTATTAATTTTTTTTTATATGTAAGTGATGATGGGTATTGTGATGTTAGAAAGGGAGTCGGATCATTTGATTTACAAATTAAAAATAGAATTCTTTCAGATGATTCGTCATAGACTGCCATTCCTTGTTTGATCTGCCCATATGTATTTTTGTAGGTAAACAATGACTCATATGATTACACCGATTTAAACTAAAATTTTTTTTTACCATAAATGAATTCGATGATGAAAATCATATTTTTCTTCTTTAAATAATATATATATATCATAAACCAAGATTCACTATTAGAGAGAACTTGCCAAAATTTTCATTATTCTAAACCATAATCAGCTGCTTAATATAATAGCGTAAATATTATTTTCTTAAAAAAAAAACAAACCCCAAAATGTCACAACTCTTGCTCCGATTATTCCAAAGTGAACATTTCAATAGTTCGATGGCAATATCCTACTTATTTAAATATCCTGATTCAGTTGGAATTCAACACTACTTATGCAATGAACTCAAGAAATTTCCAATGTCAGAGATCGAATTCTTTTTGCCTCAGTTATGGTAAAGGACGTTACTTTTCACTTGGTAGTTTTTCCAAAATTTCACCAATGTTTCTTTCAGTTGATTCATTATAATTTTACAAGAAGAAAAAAAAAAGCCTTGGTTAGGTAGAATTTGAAAAAAGAGGATGATTGATGATTTTGTTCACCCTTCAAATAAATTATGTAAGAAATCATATTAATTTAAATCTATTGATCATTTTGTTTGTGCATTCTCTCTTTCTTTTTTTTTTGATTTAAAAATAAGCCACTTGCTCGTTTGTCGAACTACTGAATCGGTCGCATTGGAATTTTTTATATTAGAAAATTGCGAAAAGTCAAAACATATGGCTATACTGGTACGTTTTTAAATTCTAACAAACATTATTAGATGTAAACTATCAAATATAAAAAAAAATTATGCGCTATATTATTAATAAATTATGCGTGCATGTTTACTTATTTATATATAAATTTAATAAATTTCAGACTTTATGGTATTTTCAAGCATACCTCTCGGATTTATCCTCTAATCCATCCTCACCTGCCTTTACCGTCTGCAAAAGAGTCATAAACAAATGCCAATCAATAGTATTTGAAGGGACTCAAAGCGATGATCAAAAATCCATTACTGATCCTGGAATATCCTCTAAAAAAGTTAAGGAAAACGTTCTTCCGGCTCTTGTTGGAATTGGTGCCATGGTTGCTGGTATATTCGCACCATCTTTAATGAAAAGTGCTGGCCAAATTGCTATAGCACAAGGTAGAAGAGCAAGAGGTTTTGAAATCAATCTAGAAAATCTTCCACCATCTGATGATAATGATGAGTTACAAAAGCACGAAATTGGTTCAACATATTTATCAACTGATGATGACTCAAATACAGATGAACAATTTAATCAAAAATCAGTAAAATTTTCAAAAAAAAATCTTTTAAGGTCTTCATCTTCATCTTTTCCTCATCGTAACGGAGTAAATCTAAAGCCTTTAACATCTCCATCACTTGATGATTTGCATAAAGGAAGTTTGATGAGAAGAAATAACAAGTTTAGACCGCAATCTGTAGATCTTACTACAAACTTTAAAAAAAAATTCTTTTTTAACGAGGTTGTTGACAATGACGATGAAATATTCACAGTTTATCGTACCTCGACAGAATTCTCTGATGACGCCTTGCTTGATGAAATAGAAGAATATGGCCCAGAAAGACAAAGGCGTCTTCTCAAAGGAAATTACTTCAATTCAGAATTGCAGTTCTTATTAGCTTTGCAAGATATTTCTTCAAGATTAATTATTGTTCCAAAAAAAGCAAGGCAAAGTGCTTTAGAAGCAGAATTAACCATATTAAATCACAGTTTACCAGCAGAAATTTGTATACCATTATGGTGTCCCGCTTCCTCCGAAAAACCATATCATCACCGAGTACTTAGGATATCTCCATCTGATGCAGTAGTTTTAAATTCAGCAGAACGGGTATTTATTTATATAATACATTTAATTATAAAACTTTTGAATTAGTTGTTATATGTATAAATAACTCAAATTTATACAATTTAAAAAATAACTAGTACTAATTCAATTTGTTACTGGATTATATAGGTACCTTACTTGTTAATGGTAGAAGTTCTTGAGGGTGAAATGAATATTGATATGGCTAAATTACAAAGGCAAAAATCCTTGCATCGTCTTTTTCACGAAGAAAAGTCAAAACGTCTATCAATCGAGCTTCCCCCCGCGGCTACTGATCCAAAGCAAACTCAAGATGATAACACTGAAATTGGTACTGAAATTCCCTCTGAAAGTATTAAGAATCTTCAAAATGGCGACGATAATGAAAACCAAAGTTTAAAGGTATTGGATGTTGAAACACCTGAAATATTACAAAAAAAAGAAAAAGATGATGACAATAATGATAATTATCCATCAGAAAAACAAGAAAATGATATTTCAAATGAAAATGAAAATAATAACATTAATGATAATGTTGATAATGGTATGCTTAATTTTGATGTTGATGTTGATAATAATAATGATGATAATAATAATAGTAATAATGAAGATGATGAAATAACTATTTCACCAACGTTATCGGCACCACTGGGATTAGCTACATCATCAAAGTCTTCTAAAAGAACCGCGTCGATTGATAAATTAATTATGTCAGCACCTAATTTAAATACCATTGTTGAATCTGATTCTAATGATGATCCAATTTCAATTCCCTCTGAAACATCGTTAACTATTTCATATACGCCTACTTCTCCAACACTTCCTGAATCGAATAGTGAATACTTAAAAGAAGTCATAAATCGTAGACAGTCAAATTCAGCTGATGAATTTGCAGAAAAAATGCGTACTGCCGCTGTAATGCTTGCTCAATTAAACGCAACGCAACAATCGCGAGTGTCTTCTACTGGAGAACCAATTCAAAGGCCAAAAGCAAATACAGAGGCAATCCGCCAAAAGATTTTTAATGAAATGATGGTTTTGGAAGAGGAAAGGATATTGAAATTGAAAACTCATGGAATGATCAGTGGAGTTGGTGCTAACGGAGGTGAAGGTGGTGGTGGTGAAATGCTAGAAGATGAAAAACGCGTTTTGAGTGCTGTAAACAGAGATGATCCAAGTGGTAATAGATCAAAAATTAATTTTGGGAAATATCAATAATATATATATATACAAGCATATATCGATTAAAATTAAATTATTTTATACAAATTAAATAGCCGCTGTATTTCGAGAAGATTGGAATACTAAGAGAGAACGTATTCGTAAGGCATCTCCTTTTGGTAATCATCCTAACTGGCGTCTTTTTTCTGTTATTGTTAAAACAGGAGCAGATTTGAGACAAGAACAATTAGCATGATGTTGATAATAATAATGATGATAATAATAATAGTAATAATGAAGATGATGAAATAACTATTTCACCAACGTTATCGGCACCACTGGGATTAGCTACATCATCAAAGTCTTCTAAAAGAACCGCGTCGATTGATAAATTAATTATGTCAGCACCTAATTTAAATACCATTGTTGAATCTGATTCTAATGATGATCCAATTTCAATTCCCTCTGAAACATCGTTAACTATTTCATATACGCCTACTTCTCCAACACTTCCTGAATCGAATAGTGAATACTTAAAAGAAGTCATAAATCGTAGACAGTCAAATTCAGCTGATGAATTTGCAGAAAAAATGCGTACTGCCGCTGTAATGCTTGCTCAATTAAACGCAACGCAACAATCGCGAGTGTCTTCTACTGGAGAACCAATTCAAAGGCCAAAAGCAAATACAGAGGCAATCCGCCAAAAGATTTTTAATGAAATGATGGTTTTGGAAGAGGAAAGGATATTGAAATTGAAAACTCATGGAATGATCAGTGGAGTTGGTGCTAACGGAGGTGAAGGTGGTGGTGGTGAAATGCTAGAAGATGAAAAACGCGTTTTGAGTGCTGTAAACAGAGATGATCCAAGTGGTAATAGATCAAAAATTAATTTTGGGAAATATCAATAATATATATATATACAAGCATATATCGATTAAAATTAAATTATTTTATACAAATTAAATAGCCGCTGTATTTCGAGAAGATTGGAATACTAAGAGAGAACGTATTCGTAAGGCATCTCCTTTTGGTAATCATCCTAACTGGCGTCTTTTTTCTGTTATTGTTAAAACAGGAGCAGATTTGAGACAAGAACAATTAGCATGTCAGTTAATCAAGGAAATGGAAAGAATATGGCAAAAAGACCATGTTAATGTGTGGGTTAAATAGTAAGTATTATCATTTTTTGGTATTGTAATATATATTATATTTGATTGGTTATTTGTTTACTTATTAAATTTATATTTTTTTTTTATTCCTTAGTTATCGAGTTTTAGTTACTTCTGATCATTCTGGTTTAATTGAAACAATACAAAATTCTATTTCGATCCATTCAATTAAAAAAGATGCTTATGCTAAAAGATTAAACGAAAAAGGATTTGTATTCACACTATTTGATTATTTCGTCAAGGTAACCATCTATCATTAAATATTATTTTGTTTATAAATTGTTCACCCTTATTTATCTTTGATTTCTAGACATATGGAGATGTGACCTCTGAAGCTTTTTTGCGTGCTCAAGATAATTTTATGAGAAGTTTGGCCGCATATTCTTTAGTGAGTTATATTTTACAAGTAAAAGATCGGTAAGTTTTTTTTTTTGGTTTAAAAAGCAAAGAATAAATAATAGATCTTTATTTTTGGTAAATGATTATTTACACTCAGATTAAATAATCATTATTGATTAATAGCCATAATGGTAATATTCTTGTGGATACTGAAGGTCATTTAATATGTAGGTGTTGAATATTGATTTTTAAAAATTATATATTTGTCGTTTATATTCTAGCAAAATTTTTAAATCATATTTAAAAATAAATCTTAGACATTGATTTTGGATTTATGCTTTCAAATTCACCTGGTTCTGTTGGATTTGAATTGGCACCATTTAAGTTGTCTCAGGAATATTTAGATATTTTGGGTGGTTTAAACAGTGAAAAGTTTTTAGAATTTAAGTCATTATTAAAACAAGCATTTAATGTGTTAAGAAAGCATGCTGATAACATTGTCTCGTTGGTTGAAATGACGTCTAAAGGTAATAAAATAAATTATACATGTGCTGAAAGTTTTTATTGCAAGGAAATCGGATTCCCTTTTCAGGAAGATATTCAGATTTCCAAGACAAAAAATTTCAGCATGATTCTATCAAATTAATAGTATCAATTTGATATTAACTATTAAAAAATATTAAATATTTAGATTCGAAACTTCCATGTTTTCTCTCCGGAGAAGCAACTTCTTCTCATCTTAAAGATCGATTTCAATTAACACTTACTCAACCGCAATTTGACGATTTTGTTGAAAAGTTGATTATGTCAAGTTGTTGTAATGTATTTACACGATTATATGACACTTTTCAATACTATTCTAATGGAATCTTATAAAATATATGTTATTGTTTGAAATCCCATATACACATAAATATGCGTGAAAGAATGTATGGAACGTTAATGGGGGTTTTTTTTATTATGTATAGATTATGTAAAAATCGCATTATTATTTATTTTTATGATTCATTAATATATCTATAATTCTATGGAATTATTTAATTTAAAAGTTGCAAATAAAAATAAATCTCTAAATCATCTTTTGTTAGTTCTGCAACTTAAATAGGGAAATTTAGGCGGAAACAGCAGCAGCAATGGATTATGATTTAAAATCCAAGGATGTTTCGATACTTCCTCCAAAAGTAATTGTTTATCAAGATTTTTTTTGACCGGCACCTAGAACTTTCCAAATGCAAACTACTATTTTACATATTATTCGCAATTTTTTGTCTAAATTGAATATTTATTCGATCAGATTTAATCATAATATTCCACCTCTAAATTGTGGATGAAAGAAATAGCCAAACAAATACATTTCCAAAATTAAATTCATTTCGATGCTTATCAAATGCTAGTTGGCATTTTCTTTGGAAAGAGGATTTAAACAAATCACCAACTATTTCATTAAATCTCCCTAACTAGGAGGACTCCCATCGGATCTTTTTGATATTGAGAGTGTATTGAAGAAGTGTTGTCCAGTATATATTGACTGGTGTTGATGGTTTGTGCAGGTGCATAGGTTCTTGGAAATGGTAATAAAGTGGAATGAGAAGTTGAAAGCAATCTTGATAGCAATAGCTGAATGAGAATCCTGAGGTTTTATAGAATAGCCATATTCGACATATTCAATGTTGTCCCTCATATAATTTATTACATAAAATTTGCGTCTTGAGCAGCATTGATATCATAATTTCAATGACTAGTAAGAAAAATATCAGACCAAGATCCAAGAACATCCGTCTTTTGTAAATATATTAAAGGAAAAACGTTTAATTCTTAATTATCAACTATATATATTTATTTGCAAACCCTCTATTACTAATCATAATATATATAATATTATTTATTATGTACCAAAGTTAATAGAATGAATTTTAATATTGTAGATTTATTATTTAAAGCAAATTATTAAAATAACGTTAACAAATTATAAATAAACCATCTGAAGTTTTTAAAATCGAAAAAATAACGAAAAAAATTTGTCATTCTCTTTTTACATTCTTTTAATCAAATAATAATTAAATTCATACATACAATGAAGAAGACTACTGAATATTATTAATAAATTTAAATTGTCACGTCGTTTTTTTTGTTGTACTTTGCGACTATGGAGTAGGTGTTGTTGTTGTTTTAAACATAATTTGTAGGATTGAACTGGTCGACTTTGGCATCCACAAACTGTCAGTTCGCTAATACAAGGATATTCATTCCTGGATTTAATTAAACCAAAGGATTTCATATATACTATTATTGGCTTACCAAAATAGTATCTCTCCTCAGGAACGATCAATTCAAAAAAAGCAATTGCGGCCAGATTTTTGACAACGCTAATATTAATATAAATTTTTACTTTTGTCATAATACTAATACTAAGGTTGTAATGATTTTACTTGACATCCATCCATAATTGTTCTTTCTCATTTTCCCACTGCTTATATGCTTTTTCGAAATCAAAATCTTCTGTTTCTGACCCATTTAACAATATCATTGATGATTGCTCGAAGTATCAATATTCATTCTATTTCTCATTTTTTATTTTTTATTTAAATTTTGTTGTGAAAATATTCTTTTCTAATAGTAAAATTTTTAGGTCTTTTTACTATAAGTTGTGGCAACAACCTATCTATGAAGTTTCGGGAGAGGTATAATCAGTGTTATTTAAGAACAAGTGTTATAGTTGGAAAAATCTTCATCTGTATCCAATATATACATATATGTTTCCATAATTGAATAATAACAATAATATTTTTATAAGACCAGAGATGATATTTTACCAATACTACCCTTGCTCAAGTGTGAATATTCGAAATACATCAGATGACTTTTGGTAATGGATGGATTTTCGAATAGTCATAAATATTTCAAATAAATATAATTATGAATCACTTTTATTTTTGATTAGGACCTTTAGATGGATGTGTGATCTTTTTTTTATTTTACTATTAGTTTCTAGATTGCAAAACAAGACGATGCTTAAGAGGCATCCTTATCGATCACAAAAATAAAAAAGAAAACAAGACGATACTTGGGACAAATCCTTTATTTTGGCAACATAAATCGACGCGGTTTAACCAAATTTGGAATCTATCTGCAAATTTTCACAAGAAATAACCAATTTGTATATACAGCGAATTTTTACCATTACATAGCATGCTCAATTAAAAAATTTGTATAACATTTATTCTCTTAGAATATTGGCAAAGAATAATATGATACGTGCTTTTATATCTCTTTAGAAACATCATTAATTAAAAATTAATTCCAGACTATTTAAAAAGTTTAATTTCAATTTGAATTTAGAAATCATCGTGCATTCCAATATTGTTATTCTTGATCAACTGATCATTGATTTTCAGTAAAAGCCCTCTTTACTTCTTTAGAAAATTCATCATCAATCAAAAAATCCAAACCAACCAAAGTAATACCTTTAGAAGCCATAATGGTTTCCTCATGTGCCAAAATAGTTTTAGCAGCTCCAGTAAATCCTATTGTATGATTGAAATCGCCAGGTAGTGCATGTATATCATACATTGAATGTATACCAGGTACTACATACGTAACATTACCTTGATCAGTTGAGCCACTTGGTAATGCTAATTGTTCATGTTTTGGTTGGAATTTTTTACCAAATACTTTGGTTAAATAATATTCATATCTTGTAGCTAATGGTTCATTAGTTTTAACATCTATTCATTCATAGGTTATTATTATTATATTATTATCATTTTATCATTATCATTATTATTTCAAAAAAATAAGTAAATATTAAATTGCTTTTACCATAAACACCTCTTTTCCAATTAGTTTTTACTTTAGTCCCAGTAGCTTCAGATGCAGCATCGAAGCATTTTTGAACACGTGGTTGTAAAGATCTTAAATCACTTATTGTTTTACCACGAATATAAAAGTGCCCAGAAGTATAATCAGGAATAACTAAATAAATAAATAATATTAAATAAATGGTTATTATTATAGATTGAAATTCAAAAAAAAAATTATTTAACTGTTTGGAGCTTCTCCACCATTTGTAATAATTCCATGAATCCTAAAAAATAAAAAAGTAAATTTTTTTGAATAATGAATTAATTAAAGACTTTTTTTTTGTTACCTATCAGTAGGCAAAATTTGTTGTCTCAGCAATGAAATATTGTTATAAGCCGAAATTAAAGCATCTAATGCATTAATGCCTAATTGATTATATAAAAAATAAAAAATATTTTATTGATTTTAAATTTTCCAAAAAAAAACCAACATTCATATATATATTTGATAATAAATACCATTCCAAGGATCCCCTAAAAAAATTTTTAAATTAATAAATAAATATTACACACGCACATATATGTATAAGAAACATATTTGGTTTCTTAGAATACCTGAAGCATGTGCATTCTTTCCAAAATATTCTACAGTGACAGGTCTTAATGCGAGAAAACTCATATATACTGCATCAGTAACGCTATTTAAAAACATATAGAAGAATAATTAATAATAGCATTTTTAAAATAGTAATTATTACGATGTAAATTATTTTGAAAACCTTGGATGAACCATTAAAGAAATATCAACATTATCGTAGGCGCCAGCCTCAATTAAATCAAGTTTTCCACTACCAATTTCTTTAAAAAAAAAAAAAGCACAAACACATATAATATATAATATTAAAAATAATAATAATAATAATAATAATAATAATAATAATAATAATAATAAATACCTTCAGCAGGGGTGCCTAATAATTTTACAGTTCCTTCAATTTCATATTTTTCAATAACTGATTTAATACCAATTGCAGCAGCAACACCGCTTATTGCTATTAAATCTGTATTTACATATATAGTAAATATGATAGAGATTTAAAAAATATTTAATTTATAATTCCATGTTCATAAATATATATTATACATGTATAGTGACTTACTATGACCACATGCATGACCTATTTCTGGAAGTGCATCATATCTTAAAATTCACAGAATATTCGATTTAAACAATCATGTATAAAAATTTATGAGGGAAAACCAATATTTAAAAAATTCACTCACTCTAAAAATAAATTTATGTAAGAAATTAACAATAATTAATGATGAAGATAAAGAAAAATAAAACCCAATCTAATTACCAGAATTAAATGACACTGTTTTTCCTTTTCCAGATTTAGATTGAAATTCTGCAGTAAAAGCTGTTTCGATTCCATATGCATTTGGAGTTACTTCAAATCCTTTGGATTTCAAATATGTAACTAACAATTCATGCGCATATTTTTCTTGATATGCTAATTCTGGATGTTCATGAATCTATTTTATGTATATTATATGTTATAAATATTATAAATATTATAAATATAAATATTGTAGCAAGTATTAATTATTATTATCAAAAAATCAACTACTTTTAAGCTTATTTCTCTCAATTCTGATGAAACTTGATCAATTGCTTGAAGAGCTGTTTTAGCATATTCCGGATTATTAATATTAGAAACATCAACATCTTTATGATTTGGTAATGAATTTTGAAACGTATTATCATCATCATTATTAGTATTATAGTTGTATCGACAATGAGAAATTGGCTATTGTTATAGATAATATCATTCGTTATATAATTAAATTGTCTTTTTTTTAAAAAAAGTTATTTTATTTTTCTACCTTTTTTTTAAACAAATTTTTAATTTTATTTTTTAAATGAACCAAAAAAAATCTACTATTTTTGCTTCCATCATCATATTTCTCACCAATATCAATGTTAATGCTATTATGATCAATACACATTATTATTTTTGAATAATTTTCATTACGTTGCTGATTAACAAGATTTAACAATAATAATAAACAGATCAATCCCTTTTTTGAACGTGTGCCACGCACCGGATAATTAAACATTACTCGTATAAATATTTACAGACTCCTGTTCAACTTGTTCACTTAGTATTCATTATAGAAAGCGGACTATTTTTAATAAAAAATACATGAATTATCTCCAATCCCACTAAATTAACCAATATCGAATAATTTCTTTTTTTATGCTAATACTAATACTAATAATTAATGTGTACGCATTGTCGATCAAATAAAATTTCTTTATATTTATAAGAAAAAATATGAACAAATCTAATGAAAGAAAAGAAGAAAAGCAGATACCTTTGGTGCTGCCAAAGGATAAGTGTTTATCATAAGAATGGTGGTGTGGTTATTACCACTCGTCGTCATTCTAGTTAGTTATTAAAAAGAATGGTGGTTATTGCCACTTGTCATCACTCTAGTTAACTAATAATAATACCTATCATTTATTCATGTTCTTTTTCTTCTTACAATATGAACAGTCAAGTATCAATCAAAAAATACTAGAATAAAATATCATCATCTCAGCAACAACAACAAGAACAAGAACAACAAGAACAAGAAGCTTTATCAATAAAATAACAATTGGTTTATGATATAGCTGTTAATAGACATGAAAATATATTTTTTACTGGTTCTGCAGGAACTGATAAAAGTCATGTACTATTAAAGATTATAATAGCTCTTAAAAAATTTTATGGAGCTGAAGGAAGCCTTCTCAAGCCCATCCAAGCGAACACATTCATGCTGTTCGTCAGGAGATATGTTTTCAAGTCCTAATTATATGTGAGTGCAGCAAGCGTTGTTTGGTTTATTGTTTCCCGTTTTTTGCTCTTTTGTTTATTAAAAAAATAATGTCGCCATTGCCTTTCGTTCAGGTTATGCTAATCAAGACAACATTCCTTGATTTGAAGATGTTGGGTGATATGCCAAGTATAAAAGATTTGCCAATCAGCCCTTTGTCCAGTACGGTAACTGGTCTGTGTTCTATGCCTCCAAGAAGCCAAGACGGCGGAAGTTACTTCATATTGTCCCACAAAACTTATAATGCAATTACCAGTGCATATGTGGTGATGGATGTTCCGTGCCTTTATGAGCCATCATAGCAACGTGGCAAATGTCACGAACAGCAAAGCCATTTTCTTCATGGCGGGAGAACTGTTTGTTGGCAAGAAGCTTATGCAAATTATTGCATCTGATATTGAATGGACGTATCCATTCGTGGAAAGAGACACCACCGATGAAGGAAGCAAATGTCCTGATGCAAGAAGCCGAAATTGAAGCGCTTAGACTTTGAGGAGAAATGTGTGGAGGGCTCTGGGAACCAAAAAAAAGGTCTGCGAACTACCATTATGGTGGTTACAATGGAGAGTCGAGTGCAAGCACGCAAAAAAGGGGCACGGATACAAATTGTGAAGAGCAGGAAGGAGTGCCTCGAGAAACAACTTGAGATCGACCAAGATTTGCAGATGCAGTGAGTGTAGTCGTTAACAACAAGGGGAAAGGTCGCGAAAAGGACATTGAGAAATTGATGGATTCTCACGAGGAAAAATCTTGTGAAAGCTCCGACACCGAATAATCTTTTGTTTCTTTTTTTTTCCTATATAAAATAGTAATAAACAAATAGTAAATATAAAAAACTATAATTAGTTGCTTAATTGTTTGTCACTGTTGTATTGCGTGCCAAAAAAGGACCGGGAAAACTCCATTGAATGTCACCGCCAAATTAAGCACCTGATCATATTAACGCGAATCTTGCTTTTTATAAACGAAATCAATTTGATGGTAACATTTAATATTAACAATTTATTAATGATGCAAATCAATATTAATAATGATGATTTTTCAAATAAAAACATTCGAAAGTGCGAAATATGTCTATTACTACTATATATATATAATATTAATATTAATAACAAAGTCGTACATCAAACCATTTTTGAAAATATATATATATATACAAAAGTCGCACATCAGAAATTATATATATATATATATAAAACTGGTTTTTTACAAAGAAAAGTCGCACATCAGAACTTTATTATTATTATTATCTATTATATTAAAAACGTTGTGTTCACGTGTCCTAAGGTTTAGAATGGCGCGCACGCATAAATAAACGTAACGTTTAGGCTGCCACGTATAAATAATGATTTTTGAATTGTTCAAGAACGCAAACGTGTGTCACAATCTATCCATTATTGTATCGATGGGTTACGTTTAGACTACCACAAGCACGCAAATAAATATGTTGTGATGCGTGGCGTTTTAGACCGCCACATGCAATCTATCTATTATTGTATCGTTGGGTTTAGGGATGTTAATCAGTCCTTTTGGGACCGGGTCCTGAACAGTCTGGACCTGACTTTTTCAGGTCCAGTCCTGCCATTTGGGACTTAAAGTCCTAAAAGGTCCATGTGTAACCTTATGTGCTGATTTTGTTTGAACCTCAAAAATTCAGTATGACACAATAATGTTTGAAAAAAGAGTCCAAAGCAAATAATTATTATTAGAAGGTACTTTGATGCACCACCAGAAGAAATTGAATGTTTGGATTGGTATGCATCAAGAATAAAAGATCCTAATTATATAACTCTGTCACATATGGCAAAAGATTTTTTTCAATACAAGCCACAAGTGTGTCAAGTGAGCAAATGTTTTTAGCATTGCCAAACATATATTAAATCCAATTCGAAATAGGTTGGATTCAGAAAAAGCACAAGCAAGTCTATGTGTAAAGAGCTGGATTGAAGCAGAAATTGTTTCAATTTAATTTTGGTTTTTTTATTTTGTTTGTTTTTGTGTGTATATATATATTTTTTATAATAATAAAATAATAAGTTTTTTTAGTTTCAATAATAATATGTTTAAAAAAACTTGGGACTTTTTCAGGACTTTTTCAGAACTTTAAGTCCCAGGACTTAAGTCCGGTCCAGTCCCAAGATAGGACTGCCAGTCCCAGGACTGTCCTGAACTGTTTAGGACTGATTAACATCTCTACATAAAACGCGCATGATGCGCATCATGCAATTAATTTCCTATCTCTAATAACGCTTTTTTTTTTGCCAAAACAAAAGGACCGTACTGTATAATATTGGCCCCCAGTATTACGTATTGCAGAACAATACACAACTTCTGGCAATTCTTTGTAATTTCAAAGCTGTTAGAAATCTGTTGATCTCCACCACAAAGAATTTTATTCACCAAACTGAACCATTTGAAGCCTTAATCTCTAAATTATTTTGCAACAAAAAATTCCCAATGAAAAAATGAATGAAGGTATTTTTTTTCTTACACAAAAAAAATTATATAGTAATAGTAAAAGGATTTTACATCATAATTTTAATATTTTGCTTTATAATAAAGCAATGTTTAACTAAATTCAATAAATATTTTAAAAACAAACTTTATCAAAACATCATCTAATTAAATAATTTTATTTTTTATCCATAGAGCGTAAGTATTATATTGTAGATTAACTTTTACAACACAAAATAAACTTTATTAACATCATTTAATTAAATATATTTAATTTTTATCTCATAGAAAGTAAGTATTATATTATAAATTAATTTTTGCAAAATAAATTTTATTAAGACATCATCAATTATTTTTTTATTTCTTAGATCGTAAGTATTATATTATAAATTAACTTTCACAACACAGAGTGAACTTTATTAAAACATCATCTAATTAAATAATTTTATTTTTTATTTCATAGTTTGTAAGTATTATATTATAAATTAACTTTTAACACAATAAATTTTACATCATCTAATTAAATAATTTTCTTTTTTATTTCATTATAATAACTAGGGAGTAAGTATTATATTATAAATTAACTTCTACAACACAAAATAAACTTTATTAAGACATCATCTAATTAAATAATTTTATTTTTTATTTTATAGAGCGTAAGTATTTTATTATAAATTAACTTTTACAACACAAAATAAGCTTTATTATATTAAAACATCATCTAATTAAATAAATTTATTTTTTATTTCATAGTTGGTAAGTATTATATTATAAATTAACTTTTACAACACAAAATAAACTTTATTAAATATCATCTAATTAAATATTTTTATTTTGTTTCATAGATTGTAAGTATTATATTATAAATTAACTCTTACAACACAGAATAAACTTTATTGAAACATCATCTAATTAATTATTTTTATTTTTTTTATTACATAGCTTGTAAGTATTATATTATAAATTAACTTTTACAACACAAAATAAACTTTATTAAATATCATCTAATTAAATAATTTTATTTTTTATTTCTTTATAATAACCAGGGAGTAAGTATTATCTTATAAATTAACTTTTACAACACAAAATGAACTTTACTAAAACATCATCTAATTAAATAAAAAAAATTTTTGTTTCTTTATAATAACCAGGGAGTAAGTATTATATTATAAATTAACTTTCAAACACAAACTGAACTTTATTAAAACATTATTTAATTAAATAATTTTTATTTTTGTTTCATAGAAAGTAAGTATTATATTGTAAATTAACTTTTACAACACCTAATAAATTTTATTAAAACATCATCTAATTAAATATTTTTATTTTTTATTTTTTATTTTTTTTATAATAACCAGGGAGTAAGTATTATATTATAAATTAACTTTTATAACACAAAATAAACATTATTAAAACATCATCTAATTAAATAATTTTATTTTTTATTTCATAGTTTGTAAGTATTATATTATAAATTAATTTACAACAAAAAATAAACTTATTAAAACATCATCTAATTAAATATAAATTTTTTTTTTTTCGTTATAATAACCAGGGAGTAAGTATTATATTATAAATTAACTTTTACAACACAAAATAAACTTTATTAAAACGTCATCTAATTAAATAATTTTATTTTTTATTTCTTAGATTGTAAGT